TAACTTATGGTCCATTTAGAGTCAAACAGACCATAAAGCAGGGGATGATTTAGGTCGCTACCTCAGCAACCTGCCAATCAGGACAGAGGCGTAGCAATGCTTATTCATGTCACTGTGTACTATTAAATAGCCGTGAACTTGTTTTTGGGAGTTGTCGTGTTTTCCCTTCATGAAAGTTAATTGTAACATTTTGGTCGCTAAAGACGCTCTTTACGAGTCGGCTGTTCATTTTTTTAACCAGTAAGCACATTTTTGTTTTAAGCTAGCCAAAGAGCAACAACAAAAAAATGTAACAAAAATGTTTCTAAAATACATTACCCACCCTAATATCACAGTTAATTTTTGGATGCACTTGCTAACCAAGCTAGCGCTAGCAAGCTGGTAACTTGCCGTGCTAACGATACCTCCTCCCCAGCTTCACCTTCTCGTCCAAATATGGTCACTTGTGGCTTAAAAAAAAAAACCAAGATGGCAACCGCCAAACTCAATGCTTCAAAACAGCAGTCCACAAACCAATAGGTGATGTCTACTTCTTTAAAACGGTCTATGGTATTTAAGGCCAACTGTAAAGTTCATGGGCTGTATTTGAGTTTATAATTATTTTCTGTTTAAATCAAATGTGTTTCAATCTGAAGCCCAAACATCTGTCTGCTTCTTTAACAATAAATCAGTGTTATTGTCACAAAACATAACTCACAACTCAGCAGCTGTGCTTGTTTCGCAGAAGGATGAATCACAGAATAACAACTTGATATTTAAAGCCACGAATAAACAAATGTAAATCATTCTTGCTGTGTGAAAATGACAGATGCTTTTTGTTATTGTTGCATCTGCCATTGAGACATTGTTGTATTTAATTGGTCTCATTTTGAAGTGGGATCTGAATAATTAAAATTACATTCTCATATTTAATGGGAACGTTTTTGAAACAAACAAAGCTCTTATCTGATGGACATAGTTCATTATGACACCAAGCCACCTTTCCTGTGTGTCTCCTAACAGTTTAGTTCCACAGCAACAATCTGGTCCTGAAATCAGACTCAGGTTTGAGTGCACTGCTGACTTCCAACCTTCAATGTGTTATGAGAACTGGACACCACGTTTCGAGATGGAGGCCAGTCTTTCAAACCCCTCCTGGTTTGCTTCCTCTTCACATTAGTTGTGGCTGAAGCTCTCTTAAGCTTTGTTTAACGCACCGAGGCGTCAATATTCTTTATCCTCCAAAACACCAGAGGACGTACAAACAAAATGAACTGAAGAAGCAAGAAGACAACGAGTGTAACCGGCAAAACGCCATAAACAAACCTCCACAATGCTAAGGTGGGATTGTAATTATGTGTAAACTCATATCTCATATTCATGGACTACTTTATTACCTTTATACGAGATCTGTAAAGAAAGAAGTCAAGTATTAAATGTATTATAATGAATCAAAGGTTGAATATCTTGTAAACTATTTGATTTGGCTGCAAAATATTAACTCAAATGATGATTTTTAAGACCTCCTCTTTCTAAAGCATCTAAAAACTTGTCCTAACGTGCACTAAAAAGCACGACGGCCGGCCCGGCTATGTCAACAAAGCACAGAGAAACTCGAATTACAACAAACACAGAGGGAGAGTGACTTCCTGTCTCTGCTCATGTAGACGTTACTCCCCCACTTGTAACAGTAGTAGTAGGGAGGCCCCCCGAAACTCGGTCCTAAGCAGTAAATTAGTTTAGGACCGAGTACTAAATTAGTAAAGTATTGATGCGGCCCGGAGTTATCGGTTCTGCTATCGGTACTTTCTTATTTCTGGAGTGAGACGTCCTCTCTCTGTCTCTCTGTCTTTGTCTCTCTGTCTCTTTGTCTCCTCTCAGTACAGCGTGAGACTCACATCATGATCAGAGAGAAGTTCATTGTAGAACTCTGGTCGTCTCAAACACAATAAAACCCATCACAACATGTGACCAACAAGCAGAACATCAG